AACAGAGTGGTGCTATCAAATCTCATTTGGACTCAACACACTAATCACAATTAGCCGTGAAATCCTCGACAGCAACACCAAAGTAATATACCAGAACAGCAACTACAAAGTTAATTTTTACAACGTCAAAGTTCATCTTGACAAAGTCAATATTTCCCTATATATACAGCAAGGAGCACTGATAATGATTCATTCGGAATCGAACTATGGCCTTATTTGCAGCATGAATTCGAAAAATAAGTTTATTTTGAATTTTAATAAATTAAACGTTCACCAAAAAATTTAGTGAGAAAAATCGAAAAAACGAACTACAAACATATTAACGCCAAACATTCGGTAGAATTTATAGAATATTGTAAAAATTATGGTCTATTACCAACATATGTATGTATGTATATATATTGATAAAAATCACAGCATGTTCCGCGTTGAGGGGGTGCGTTAGTGCTTAGAAGTTGTTTTAAAATTGGCAAGATGTTATCGTACTTGAAGGCGCCAGACACAACTCTAGCCGCACGATTCTGAACTGACTGTACAATCCTAATTGACTTTTCAGGTGAGTCGTTGAACAAACCGTTGCAATTGTCGAAACGCGATTGGATGAATGCATGCATCATCTTCTTAAGAGTATTTTTGTCTAGATATTTTTTTATCAATTTCAACCTGCGCCGTCTGAAAGTACAGACTCATCAATGATTTTATGTGATAATCCAACGTTAGCTTAGAATCAATGTTACCATCTAGACTTGGAGCATTTGAACAGCATTCCACTTGAAATAACAAAAAGAAAATTTAATCGATTTATAGTTGTTTTTTTATTTTCAAAACAATTTTTTGTTGTTGAAATTATTTAAAATTGGCGAGATGTAATCGTATTTGAAGGCGCCAGACACAACTCTAGCCGCACGATTCTGAACTGACTGTAACATCATAATTGACTTTTCGTGAAGCATTAATTTTCTTAAAGATGAAGTCAGCATTTGGATTAAATTAAAAATTAATACGTAAAAATTATAAAACGAGTAAACTTCGAGTGCTCGATTTTTAAAACTTAATGTTGATATTGCTCGAACGCACAACCGCGTGTTATATTATTCCTAATGACGTTAATGCTTCAGATTTTAATAAAAAATAATTAAAAAATTTCGGTTTTCAACTTTTTGGCTTATTGCTTCACACATAGTGAATTACATTTTGCATTAATTGAGGAAAGAGATTTATGATTTAACGAGTTTACATATTTAAGGGTTACATAGGTATATCGAGCTTTATAGCTAAAGTTACATAGATCAAGCTTTATAGCAAAAACAATAAATTGTAATAAACAAAAACTTAAAAAAAATTATAGTCTTCATTATTTAATGTAAAATTAAATTTGATAAAAATTATTTCTACCAACCGATGCACATATAGATGGCGTTTTTCCTGATGCTTCTCTTGAAGAAGCAACTGCAGCCATCGCAGCAAAAAGCACCGTAATGCTTGCCGTAGCTTCTGTCCCCACACACAGCACAGGATACAAGGAGTGGCACACTTCGACCTGCAGAAATATTTGTAGTCGTTTTATACAGTAGGTCCACGGCGAACAATTGAAAGTCGTTAAGAATTGATTTAATAAAATCAAATTTGAAGTCTGCCTAGATTCTTATTATAAATTATATTTGATTGCAGATATTACGTTGATTTTATAATCAAAAGGTCCAAGTTCCTTTAAAATTTTCTCCGTTGTTGTAAAATTTTGTTTGAAAGAAATGTTGTGAGTGATTTAGAAAACTGAAAACTAATTAATAAAATTAAATTAACTAAATAAGTTTGAAGGGAATTGTATTTTGAAGCTACTATTCATCAACTCACCCATTTACCGTCTGGTCAATAGAAAATTTTAAAACTAATGCATTTCAACAGATATATATATATATATATATATATATATATATATATATATATATATATATATATATATATATATTACACCAATGTATATAGCCGTGTTGCAGTGTAACACCAGGAACATCAAAGTATGTGAAACCGAAGAAGAATAAACATCATAAAAAACCATTTTCAATCTTTGACGTTAACACTCGTCAGATGGCAGGCATGTGTGTAACTGCGTGTATTGTATGTGTGTGCGTGCATGTGCCTGTATATGCGCTTAAATTTGTCCATGTGTATGTGCTCTAATCTATGTGTGAGTGTGTGTGTGCGTGTATGTGCGTTTGCGCGTGTGTTTGTGTGCGTGCGTGCGTGTGTGTGTGTTCATGTGATCATGAGCGTGTGTTTGTACGTACGTGCATCATATAATGTTTCTCTAATGATTATAATGTTTCAGTCGATCTGTCCTGTTTGCTCTCAAGCTTAAAATCAAACGCTGCCTCTCCGGCAACTTATGTCCGTCAGGTTGATGACGACGAGGATGATGGTGATGATTATGTTGATGATGATGATAATGATGTTGCTGTTGATGATGGTGATGACGAAAACGATGATGATGATGATTTTGAGATTGCTGACGACGAAAACGTTAACGATGGTGGTGACGGTCAATTGCCAGCTACATGTTACATCGTCTCATAAAAGATATGTTGTTATTTTTAGTTGTTTATTTAATGAGTTTTGTTGCTTCTATTCAATTCTTAACATTTCATTGTTGGTTCAGCTGCGGTGCTTGCGTGCAAATGATGCACTTTTTTTAAAGCATACGAAATGATCAAATGGCATCTATGTACAATTGTACATCACACACACAAACACGTACGCATGCACACAACACACATTATATTAGAGTCTTCATTCGTTTGAACGAAAGTGTATGAGTTGTGTGTATTTACTTAAGTATAATACAGCAAAGCTTTTGTTTAATTTGCTGTAAAAATAATTTATTCTATTTTTTATAATGATTGAATGAATTGAAACTAAGAAATAATTATGGGACAAAAGGGTTAAAGGTCCAATACACACTTCCTAGAGTATTCAACAACACACAGACATCGCATTGGAATGAATGAATATTTAGCCCAATACATGCTAAACGACGCATCACACCCGAGGCATGGGATAGGCGACAATTGGATCGAACACGGCCACTGCACGCACTGCAAAGAGCACCAAGCCACCTTAACCACTAGCCCAGCACGCCGCCTGAACAAGTCAAACTTCATTGGATAAAAATAAAAATGGGCGGTCGTTTTCATGCTCGAGCCAATCAGATGTATTCTTATTAAAATGGCAGCTTTATAAATACATTTTCAACATATGATAAAATAAATCAGCGTTAGAGTATTTTGGCGCATATATGAATTAAACAAAGCTTCGTCTATTTAATGATTAAATTTGTAATTTATATTTCTTCCTATATGTTATAAAATCTGTTTATTCACTTATCAAATACATATTAAATTTGAATTTAATAAAAAAAAACAAATTAAATTCAACTCATACGCACACACGCGCACGCACACACACACACACACACACACACACACACACACACATATATATATATATATATATATATATATATATATATATATATATATATTGGGTTTAGACTATCATAAATACAATTATTTATAACGATCATTGCGATCACTACCTATAATCCGTTTTGTTGACAAATACATACATTGGAGCTTTGCCTGACTATCTTATTACAATGTTGTTAATGCAGCTAAATCTCTAAAAGACAATAACAATATTGTAGTAAGAAAGGCAGACAAAGCACCAATGTATGTAATTGTCAACAAAACGGATTATAGAAACAAAATCAACGAAATACTGTCCGATAACTCAAATCAATTAAAAAAGACCCAACAACCGAATTAAAAACCAAACTTAATAAAATAATAAAATCAATCAGTACATCATCAATTAATAATCTATTTTCAGAACTGATAGGCGAATACCAGCCTGGCTATATGTATGGTAATGCAAAAACTCACAAAGAAAATAACCCTTTAAGACCGATCATTAGCCAAATACCTATGTCACCTATCCCATTGCTAAAATCCCCAATAAACTCATTACTCCATACACATCAAACAGCTATAATTTAAAATCCAGTAAAGAATTTATAGACATTATTTCATCCTCCATCCAACAATTAACACAAACATTGCTTCACTCGATGTGGAATCATTATTTACTAATGTTCCCGTCAAAGATACCATTGAAATCATATTAAACACTATCTATAATTCTAAACATACGCCTTTAAAGATACCTAACAAACAATTAAAATTCCTACTAGAAATCTGCACAGTGGAAGCGCCATTCTACTGTCCAGACAACAAACTCTATAAACAAATCGACGGCATCGCAATGGGTTCTCCACTGGATGTACTTTTTGCAAATTTTTACATGGGTCACTTAGAAGAGATTACATTCGCAAATCATCCACAGCCTAAACCAGAAATATACTGTCGATACATCCAACTCCAATACAATCACCAAACTACTGGAAATATACAACAAATCCAAATTGAAGATAGCAGAATCAATTTTTATCGATAAACGTAAACCAGCAATAAATATTCAACTAAATAATACCAATATTTTTCCAACAAAGAAACACATGATTAACTTTAATTCTAACTAAATTACAATCAAAGTCGCTGTGAAAACAAAAACACAAAGACGGAACAATACTATATATCTGCACTAATGATGGCAGTCGATGCCGAAAAGAGCTTTTTTGTAGAAATAACATTATTAATAATATTTTGTCAAAATGTCAAATATTAAAAGTTTTTTATTTAACCTTAATATACTTCATCAAGATGATAAAAGTCTCGTTAGAAAAATTGAGAAACTCAACAAGTTGAATAAAGCCGAAAACGCAGTTATCTTTATAAATAATTGCATATATATATATATATATATATATATATATATATATATATATATATATATATATATATATATGTCCTGGTTATGACATTAAACTGACCCTCACTGCCTTGTGAGTGATGTTGGATCATCAAAAGCTAGGCCCACCGCTTATAACTGTGGTTGCGTAAGGAAGGGCGTCCTGCGTAAAAATTAGCCAAATAAATTACTTATGATGGAATGGCGTCGAGGGGTATTTCGGTTTCATCATAGGTAGCCAAACGGCAACCCCCGATCTTGGGAAAAATGTCGTCTAAACGTGTGTTGTATATATATATATATATATATATATATATATATATATATATATATATATAGTTGGTACTGCCTGAATACATGTATATAGAATAACATATATAAAAAATTTGCCGGTTATCGAAATCCATCATACACTCTTACTATATAGTTCAATGACAATAACTTATATCAGTATAACTCCACTTCTGGGGCTGCAATCCAGCAGAGTTCGGCGCCGGTCTCAAGTTCGGGTAAAGGAGGAGGGTTGACAGGAGCTTGCTTCACTGTTTTAAAAACGCTACAAACACGATGGTAAACACAACTGCAAATAATCATAAGGCTCGGTCGTCGCCCGAGACAACAAGGACCGCATTGCAGCTTTGGGGACTAGGAGCTACAATGAAAAGTTTGTTACTGAGTCCCAAAGAGGTAAAATGAAGCTGAAAATCACAGTTGGAATTCGGAATGTGAGGTCACTGTGGCAAGCTGGAATATATGCGATGCTGAAAAAAGAACTTGAGAGGTTTAGATATGATGTGGTTGGTTTGTGTGAAGTTAGATGGACAGGAAGTGGAGAATTGGAGAAAGGAAAACGGTTATGGTCAGGCACAGAAACCGAGCATATTCATGGAGTGGGAATGATTCTTGGAGAGAAAGCAAGAAGAGCATTAATTGAATACAATCCCGTAAATGACAGGTTGATGTATGCCAGATTCAAAGAATATCCAAGAGATATTATTGTGATAATTGCTTATGCTCCAACAACAAATCATTTGGATGATGAAGTTGAAACGTTCTACGAACAACTGGAACAAACATTGAAAACATTGCCAAAAAAAGATGTTAAGATCATTGTTAGGGACTGGAATGCTAAAATTGGAAGTGAGAACATTGGATTTGGAGAAGTTATGGGAAAATACGGTGTAGGAGACAGAAATGACAGAGGGGAAAGGTTACTAGAGTTTGTGAAGGACCGACGATTGTATATCACAAACATAAAGTGGCAAAACAACAACAAATGTACTTGAGAGTCACCAGACGGAAAACCAATGAACATAATAGATTTAATACTGATAAAACAGAAATGGATAAAATTTGTCACCCAATGTAGAGTTTTCCCAAGTGTAGAAATTGGATCAGATCATCGCCTTGTTTTATGCAACGTCACCATGAAGATAAAACAAAAGCTCAAAATGGAAGAAAGCATTATGAAAGTGAGATACAACACAAAAATGATAAAGCAGAAAATGGAGGATATAAAAAATATTATAAAATCGAACATGAATTGGATTCAGCAGCCAATTACAATATTAAAACAAGAGTTAGCAACCTAGAAAAAATTCTCAAAGCAGCAGGTAAAAGTTGTAAAATCAAAACGAACAAAATAAAACTGTGGATAAGCGATGAAACATGGAACCTTGTAGAAGAAAGAAATTTGAAAATGACAAAAAAACAGAGTGAAGAAAATAAGATGAAATACAAAGAAGTCTGCCAACAAATAAAATAAAGTGCTAGAAATGGATTAATGGTAAATGTGAAAAGGTAGAGACGATGATTGGGCCAAACAAGATAAGAGAGGCGTACCAGCTGGTTAAACAGTTAAAAGGAAAACATAAAAATGTGTCAAGGATTATTAAAGATAAAAACGGAAACATCCTAACAGAAAGTAAAAAGATTAAGGATAGATGGACTGAATATATTAAAGACTTATTCACAGACAAGAACACATACAAAGAAGAAACGCTTGAAATTTTGAAAAACAGAAAAGTAACCAATGAAGAAAAAAATAAAATAACGAGTGAAGAAATTACAAAAGCAATGAGTAAAATGAAGAACAACAAAAGTACAGGGAAGGATGGTATTCCGATAGAACTGATAAGAGCAGGAGGAAAAGTCGTGTCTAAAGAAATTTACACAATCTGTCAAGAAATTTGGGAAAGTGGAAAGTGGCCAGAAGAATGGTGCAAGTCAGTTCTGGTTATGCTGCCGAAAAAAGATGACCAAATAGACTGTAATAATTACAGATCAATTGCACTAATTTTGCACATATGCAAGATCATGCTGACCATCATAAAAAAATGACTGGAAAAGGTCATAGAGCAACATCTGCATGAAGAACAAACAGGCTTTAGAAAAGACAGAAGCACGATCCAACTAATTCTGATGTTGAGACTGCTGATGGAGGATGCAAAAAGTAGCGGTCAGACAATTTACCATTGCTTTGTTGATTTTAAGAAAGCGTTTTATTCTGTCTGGCATGAAGGTTTGTGGGCAACATTAGAAAGTATGGGGACATCAGAAAAACTGGTCAAAGTACTGAAAAAACATTATGAAGAATCAAAAATGTCGGTAATAATAGGTACAGAACTTGGAGATTGGATAAAGGCAGACATTGGAAGCAGACAGGGCAATCCAATATCACCAATACTATTCATAGCATTGCTAGAAAGAGCAATGGAAGAAATGAAAAATTCAGAATTGGGTGGAATTGACATAAGAAGGAAAACTGTCAAATAGACGATATAGACCTTCTAGCTTTTAGTGAAGAAGGTCTACAGAAACTAATTGAACTAACACATATTGGTGGAAAAGATTAGGGGTTGTATATCAACAAAGGCAAAACAAAGGTGATGATTATGGGGAAAGGCAGAAACAATGAAGAATTTTGGATAGAATCAAAAAAACTCGAACATGTAGACCAGTTTGTGTATCTTGGCAGTCTTATAACCTGTGACAACAACTGCACCAAAGAAATTAACAAAAGGATAGCAATAGCCCATGGAATGTTTGCATAATTAAAAGAAATATGGGACAATGGAAATATATCTATGAAAATAAAGTTGAGAATGATAAAATCTTGTTTATTTTTTCGAGCTTGTTCTATGCATGTGAGACATGGACAATAAAGAAAAGAGACGAAGACAAATTGGAAGCATTTGAGATGAAGTGTTACCGAAATTTTTTGTAAATCATTTAGAGGAAGAAAGTAAAAAATGAAACCATCAGAAATCAACTTGGAAAACAGAAAAGTGTATATGACAAAGTCAGAGAAAAAAATTGGAATTTTTTGGACACATTTGTAAAATGATAGAAGACAGATTAATTAAGATGGGACTAATGAGAAAAAGAGATTAGAAGAAAAAAATTGGTAGACCTGCAAAGAAATGGATAGATGACATTACCGAATGGACTGGTGTTGGTATTCTGAATTCAATAAAACTGGCCAAAGATAGAAAAGGTTTTTGGAAAAAAAAGGAAAAAATAAAAGTAAAAAACATGCTTAGATGTACATCTTCGGCCTCGACGGACCCTCGATGGAGATCATTGATTGATTGATATATCAATATGTAAATTTTGAAATTTGACATCGGCTTTCTACAGTTATATAAAATTTTGATTTCGACCGTGGTTAAAAATTTAGAAGTTAAAAATTTTCTATGTCTATTCTATGCTATTCGCGTCAACTTAACTTTCATTTTTCACAAATTTTATAACTCGTTCGGTGGATGCGATGGACGTAAAAGGCTTTGCTATAAGGGAATGGTATGGAAAGTTTTCAAAATTAACAGTAAAAACAGTGTTTATTAGTGTTGATGATTTGATATTGAACTACTTAAGTTCCGATGGCATTTATTTGCCGGAAGACTATCAACAGTTATCGTCGACGGATTCCGAAACAAAAACATCGTTAAATAGGTTTGTGACCGACGTTGATTTAGCCATTAAACAATTAGGTGGTCAGGTAATACCGAAATTTACTTGGAGTGTTCCAAAGGATGCGACATGGATATCTCATGACAAATCGCTTAAATGTATAAATTCAGATGAAGTCTTACTTCTGTTGAAAAGTTCAAATCAAATCACACATGACATAGACTATGCCTTAGGAGATGGCGCTGCACCCGAAAAAAGTACAATCAATCATGTCCTAGCATTGAGAAAGTGGGTTAACGTTAATCCATGTTTGGAGTTCAGATGTTTTGTGAGAAATAATTGTCTCATTGCTATTTCACAGCGTAATGTTCAACAGTTTTTCCCAGAAATTATAGAAAAAAGCCATAAGATTAAAAGCCTCATAATTGACTTTATTAATTCAGAAATAAAAAACAAGTTTTTTGTTGAAAATTTTACATTGGATGTATTTTTGACTGATCATATCGTTAAGCTTTTAGACTTTAATCCATACGGTCATATGTCTCACAGTTTGTTGTACACATATGAAGAGTTAGACAAGGTTAATATTTTAAACGACAGAAACATTCTATTTAGATATATCACGAGTCAGAAAGATGTCAAAGCTAATCTTCACATTTGGGATGCTTATCCTGAAGATTTTCTGCATTTGCATGGTGGACTAGATATAAATAAATTTATTGACTTTATGAATTTAAAAGAAAATTGTAATACATTTGAAAATGGTGATTGTAACTGAAAATTTTTTCTTTGTTTTGGTTTGTTATTTTTTATTGTTGTTTTTGTATTTTATTGTAAGTAATGACTTTAAATATTTAAAAATTTCCGGAAAATTTCAAACTTTTGTTTAAATTTAATAAATTTGATTTGAACTACTTCATTATAAATTTTTCACTTCTGTTACTTGAGACAAGTTAGTATTTTGAACAAATTAGTTGATAAGACCATATCCATACAACCGAGATCTTGAACCGATTGGGGCTGTGCACGTTAAAGGATGCATGTCGTCGTTTTGGCCATGTGAAGCGAAGCGAAAACGATACAATAATTTCCGTTCCTGAGCACCAGGTGCCTGGCACCCGCCAAAAAAAGTCCTAAACGCAGACTATACAGGAGGACTTGAAGGCACTTGGTCTCAAGGAGACAGACGCAATGGATAGATCGGCATGGGACAGAAACTGATGAATGGGATAAAAAAAGAAGTCCGATCCGTAACGGATGTAGACTATAAACGAAGATTGATTGATTAAATGGGAAATAAACATCTAAATCCTATAAAACAAAATTAGCTATTTTTTTCTCGAACTTAAATTGCCCATGAATGAATAAATAAATTTAGTTGGCAAACATGTCAAATCAAGTTTTTGAAAATTTTTGTGAAAATTTGCCAGCCGATTATAGGTCCCATCATTATGCTGCATGTAATCAAAATACACCTTAAAACGACACTACACACACACATATAAAGATATATAATATACAAATATATATAATCTAATGAAATGTATAATCGAGGTGGGAAGCGTATCAATTCAATATTATCTGCCGAACTACATGTGGTTCAGTAAAAAGACTACTGCGTACTGCAGTAATCATATCTCGAATGAATGAATATTTGAGTCAAATTATTCAGTGTATGTTCTCTTAATCAATTAGCTTGTAAAGCGGTATCTCCGCAATGTTCAACAGCGCTCCCCAACGAATTTTACAAACAGGTGTGTTTTGAGATCCGCTATGAACTTCGCAAGCGATGGAGAAGTAGTTAGGGAAGGAGGTAGAAACTTCCAAAAAAAGCGTAAGCAGATTCAGCATAAGAGTGTTTAACACGATTTAAGAAAAATTGAGAACAAGAAGGCGATCGCAAAAAAGGGCGTTTAGGTTTAATTAATATACCTTTCAAGTACTTGAGAGATCATTTTAAAAATTGTTTTATAATTTATAAGTAACTAGTGCAAGAGATCGAGATACGGAGATATATTAGAAAAGATAGGGACAGGAGCAGCAGTTAAAAGCTTAACTAAAAGGATGAAGTGTAGAATGATGTTGTTGTTTTCCTGCTTAATGGCACTTCAGCTTTCCAATGGTGCTGTTGTGTGTCCTGCTTCGATTCAGAAAAAATTCTTTTTAATAATTTTTCTCTTCCATTTTTTTCTTTCTTTTATTCTTGCTACTAAGCATCATTTTTGGCTTGAAATTAGATATTAACGTAATAGCTAAATTCTTTAAGAAAAATTATCAACTGATTTAAATTATCTCAAGTTTTAAAATTTTCGCTTATCTTGCTATGTACAGAATGCATGGTTCTTTTGTCTTTAGGTTTTTTAAATTTAAATATGTGTGAGATAGTCAGCTTGTCGCTACAAAGTTCCACATAAGAAGCTCTCTTTTAGTTATTAAATAGTTGTGCGTCAAGTTACAATGACCCAACAGAATGTTGTATAGTTTGCCAAGAGTAAAGCAATTGCCACGAATTCTGTTTTCTATTTTTTCTAAATTAGGATAAATTTGATGGAGATGGGTTTTAGTTTTATTCCATCCGCCTCTGTAAGTATAGAAGTTTATTTTAGGTTTCAGGTCGGTGTAAGGTATTGGAATCTACTTTATTGGATCACTGTGCGCTTCCTATGCCGTTTTATTCGCAATTTTGGTACCTAGATCAGTGGAAACTTCGTGCAAGTATTTTAATGACAGTTTCTTGTATCGGGGTTCTAACGGTATTTCATCTGCAAGTACTTGCAAGCCAGTTGACGGGGATGTCCTGTGAACGCCCAAACATCTCCTAAGTGATTCAGTGATGATGGGGTTCAGAGCTTTTATATATGACTTCTTTTATCCACCATAAACATATCCAATATCGATCTTATTTTTGATTTGCATATTGCTAGCAAGCAGTCTTTTTTGGTGTGCCCCCATCAATAATGGGAAGGCATTTTTATCAAATTCAAGGATTTCAGGCACTTGTTTTTGGCGTATTGAATGTGTTCTCGAAAGTTTAATTTGTCATCCAATATTAAACCTAAAAATTTTACTTCATTTTCTAATTATATTTGTACATTCCCAAGTTTCAGACTTGGGTAAACCACATTTCTTTTATGTGAAAAAATAGCTTTGTTCTAAGTTAATCATGTTTTTGAATGACCAATCGTGAATACCTTGCAATACCAATTTAAGTTTATATTCTGACTTTTATAAGCTATCATTATATCATCTATGTAGAAACATTTAAGACATTCGATAGAAATAATATTATCAAATTCATTAATTTTTATACAGAATATGGTAGCTGATAATATGCTGCTTTGTGGGATTCCCATTTCAAGATTTTTGGTTTGACAAATAATATTTACTTTCATTCCAAATTTTCTACCTTCCAAAAATTGGGATGTGAATAGAGAAAGCCTGCCTTTTAATCCAATTCGATGGAGATCTTTCAGGATACCGTATCTCCACGTTTGATCATGTTTTTTCAACGTCGAAAAGGATTATTACCACCTGCTCATTACAAATAAGTGCAATAAGTAAGTAATATTGTCATCACGAATGATTCAAAGGAAATGAGATGGTCTAGAGTGCCACAACATTTCTGACCTTTATATTAGTTTGGACAGATTATTTTATTGATGTCTAAGTAGTACGATAATCTGTGATGAACAATTTTTTTTCAAAAATTTTATATAGAATATTGGTTAGCGATATCGGTCGATAACTTGAGGGATCATTCTTAGGTTTATTAGGCTTCTTTATCGGTGTAACAAGCACTTCGCGCCATTTGTCAGGTACTAAAGAGTTTGTCCATACATTATTGAAGGCATTTTCTAAAGCGACTAGCGAATTAGCTGGTAATTTTTTAAACATCTCATATGTAATTTTGTCAGGACCTGGAGTGAAATTGTTGACTGAATTAATGTAATATTTTTTTTTTGTCATAGATGTTAAACCATTATATGGTTCTTTATTATCTGAATATAAATTAAGTGCATGCTTTTCTTCAGTTTCTGTGTAAACCATGAACAGTTGATTTTGACAGGATGATGAACAGGACGTGTTTCTATTTGTTATTTTTTTTATTAAAGACCAGACTTCTCTTATACTAGGGTTTTTTCTGTTATTTAGCTGACATAGTTTTACCAACAGTTAAGTTTCTCAGTTCTTATTGTTTTTCTGTAAAGGGCTTATAATTTCTTATATTTTTAAATAACCTATACTTGGTGATTTTAAAAATTTATTAAAAGCTTCTAGTTTCTCATCTCTACGCTCTTTACATGTTTGATTGCTTTTAGGTTTTATTTTATACATTGGTATTCCAATTAACGGAGCCGTTTTTACAACAATTTTGTTATTAGATGCAGATATATAGGTTACGGGATGCATTGATTGGTTTTCATTTATAATGTTTGGGTTTACTTCCTCAGAGAATTAAATAAACAAATTCCAATTTATCTTACTGAGGTTGGGCTGTTCCAATATTTTTGTTTCTGTAATGCCATATGATAATATGATTGGAAAATAGACACTGTTCTGTAGATTATCCTCACGATTCCATTCAATTTGATTAAAAATAATAGATGAAGCAAATGACAGGTCTAATGTTGACCATGTTTTTGAATGAGCTTGAAAGTAAGTAGATTTAATTAAACAAATATAAATGCGGAGGAGCAATTTATCAATTTTTGCCATTACCATTATTTTTATAGCGGTTCCAAATTTATTGTGTGCGTTGAAATCTCCTACTAATATAATTGGTTTCGGCAATTTATCAAATAAATTTTGGAATTAAGTATATTTATATTTCGTAATAGAAGATTATAAAAATTGCAAATCGTTATTGATCTAACTAAATTAACATTCACAGCAAAAAGCTGAAAATTGAAAAAATATTTATTTGAGATTGTACAACTTTATTGTGGACATATATTGATATTCCTCCACTAGGATTTTTTTCTGTTCTTTTGCAGGTACTTGATATAGGCAATAATTTTTTATTTCTAACTTTTTGTTATCTGTTAATTTCGTTTCATGTAAACATAAAATATGGGGGTTATATTTTTTCAATAATCTTAATATTTCTGCAAAATTACTTTTTGTTCCTCGGATATTCCATTGGATCAAGTTTATTTTATCATTTGTTAAATTGTCATTTATTTGTGGGCTTCGATTTGGTTTGGGAGTAGTGTTTGGCATTTTTGGAAATTGATGGTCTGGTATTAAGTTTAAATTATCCTCGTCAGTTTCCTCACTGTAATGTAGTAGGTAAGGGTCTGAGTTTGAATCACTGATTTCTTTAGTAATATATGGGTTTACTTTTGCTTTTATGGAAATTGTTATGTTGTGGAACGCTTATTAGCTTGCATTGAACACCTTTATCAACCGTAGTTTTATTTTTTGAATGCATTTGCATAAGTCATTTTAGGTTCTTGGAAGACCAAAGTCATAGCGTGTTTATAAGTAATATTGTTCTCATGTTTTTTGAGAAACATATTTCTTGCATTCTTTATCTTCTGCTATATTTGCATGTAGAGATTTGTGTATATGAATTATTTACTTATTTATTACTCAACTGATTCATTAAAGGACCACACTGTCCATTTGTCCGGTCAAAAAAGAGCAGACAATTACAGACAATAGCAACAGAAAATTCTTATTTATTATTTTATTTAAAATCTTATTATAATGTTAACAAAAAATAAAACAAAATTTCGGAATAGGAAATAATGGAACTCTCGGGCCACTTATAATCAACCACCTGTCATCCAATAATAAATATTAAACAACGTACAATTGGAATTCTTTCCACTAACAAATTTGGAAACCGAGGAATTATCGATAATGGTGTCATATTAAACCACAAAGTTGAAGATCGTAATAACTAATTAAATGACCGTAAACAAACTGTAATAACAGTAAACAAACAAAGAATTAAAATTGTAGAGGCACGGAACATATATATTTGAGCATTCGGCCACAAACAGGAAGTTAACTTACGCGAAACATGCCGTAATTTTCATTAACGATTGCGTTTTATACAGTCTTATTTCAATATATTATATATATATATACATATATGTTTATTTATGTATATATATATATATATGCGTGTGTTTTTATATATATGTATAAATGTATGTATATTTACAAAAATAAACTTAAATCAATAGTGTTGGACGTTACACCACACCACTCTATGAAATACATTGAAAACCAGCTTCATGTTGACAACGCGTTCTGCTGGCCAGCCTGTTATTATATATAATATATTAATATTGTGGATACAATAGCAATCGGCGATATCTATATTTTATTTATAGAACATTGTTGATTGTATTATTAGTTTCTGGTTTTAGTGTCTGCATTAATCATCTCATCGTTTCGCCAGTTGTGTCAATTTAAAAATTTGTTTTTCCCCATTCACACCAGTTTGAAAGTCCGATGTCCTTGTTAAAAAGCGTTACCGTTTCTAGGTTTGCTAAATAAATTTTATATTAAAATTTTAATCATTTATTTATTTTTTATTAAAACTTAAATCTTAAAAAGCAATACTAATTTGATCTAGTTTAGTTAGCTTTAGTAACATTGTTTGAAGTTGGCTTGCAATTTTCGTTTAGCATCCAGAGACCCAGTTCCCTGAGGTAGGACATTGTTTTCTTTGCCATCAATTTTTTGGGCCAAATTAGACGATCAGTTGTATCCATTTCATTTAAATTTAGAGTTTTCATGTCTTGCTCGATTGTGTGCGACCAGGACTTTTTTGGACGGCCTTTGGGACGTGTGCCAGGTACTTCAACATCTGCAAGAGAAGTTATGGCACCGTTTCCACTTTGTTTGACATGACCAAACTACCGCAGACGGTGTTGCCGGCATTCGTCCTTTATATAATCTAGGATTTCGGTAGATTTGATGTGGTCCTTCAGACTAATTCGTTGCATCCATCAGAGCATTTTGATGTCAATTCGTTGAAGTTGTTGTTCCAGTTTGGTTGTCATTGGCCATGTTTCTGCACCATATAACAACACTGGACGTATCACAGATTTATAAAGTCTTGATCATTGTGGTAGTTGGATGTCACGCCGCATCAATATAGAAGCAAGGAGATGCCATTTATTCCAGGCTGCATGTATGCGTTCTTGAACAGCAGCTTCAGCTGTTCCAGTACAATACAGAACATCTTCTAGATATTGAAACAATGTGACTTTCTTTACCTTAAATTAGGACAAAGCGAAGGTTGTTGTTTTGTAACATTTTATACCAGAAGAGCAGCTTTGGAAGCTCAGAAAGTTTTGCATAATGTCAAAACTTTGCCTGGAGTATATAACTCTTTCATCAAAGTTTTTAATTTTCTAGTGACTTGTTTTTATTAGGACATGAAGTTAAAGGCCATATAAAAATATTTCCTGATTGTTATTGTTGTAAGTTTTTATCATTCAATCAAACAGACGATTAAATGAGTAATCAAGTGTCAGCAGGAACTGAAGCAAATTAATTAACCGTTTAAGTTTGAACATAATGACAGGATAAAAAATTAATATGTTGCAACTTTAAAGAAGAACTAACTGTGTCAATCAAATGTTGAGTCTAAAAAATAATTTGCAAAAAATCTAAAAACTAAAATATTTTAGCATTTTTACTGCTGAAAGTTAATTAATAATATCAAGTAACTCATAAAATTGCAATTAGAGAATGTGAAATTTTCAAGGTTCATGAATATTAGTTTTATAAGCTTATGGTGAAAATTTGAATAAATTCTGATGTTCAGATTAAAAATTTTTCAAGTTAAAGTCTTTATAATACTGTTGAGAACAGGTTTTGTTAATAAAAATTCAAATAATCATCTAGGAAATGTGAAATTTCCAGTTACTGTTGTTGTTATTATTATTATTGATTCACTCTATAAGCATTCCTCAGAGGATTCAATGTTGTTGGAAAATCGTTCCATGTTTTAGCAGAGCAATTGTATGTATTACAAATAAAAATAAAATGCAAATTTTGTTTTTATTATTTATTTGATGTTATAATTGTATTGTATAAAAAACACAGCACATATAATTAATAAAGCCTATTTGTAATCCCAAGTTTATATTTTTATATTCATTTTATTTAATTAAGGAAGGGAGCCAAAAAAAGTTCAGTTTTTTACTTATAAAAGTGTATATTTCATTTTTATAATACATAAAAATTGTCTTTTCTTGTAATACGATGTCAAATTTTACTTCTTTGACTTCTATATTCCTTTGTATTTATATATGTAGTTAAGAAATATCACTGTATTTTCAGCTTTGTTCATTGCTGTTTGCATCACTGGTTTTAGTGACATTGTCATTCTGTGATTTGTTATTTATAAAATATATATATATATATATATATATATATATATATATATATTTACAATATTCTATAAATTCTACCGAATGTTTGGCGTTAATATGTTTGTACAAACATGTTTGTACAAACATATTAAACAAATATTGTACAACAAATGTAATTGGAAACCACAGCAGCAGCAGCAACGACAACAACCACAGCTGCAATAATGTTGGCAGCCAAGGAGCGTAGTTAGCTCCCGACGATGCTACGACTTTCACATTTTCAATCTCGTCTACAGAAACGCCATCACCGATGATTGTAGACGAGTACAAAGATGACGATAATGAAGTTGATGTACTAACGCCACACATTCGGTAGAATTTATAGAATATTGTAAAAATTATGGTATACAAACATATTAACGCCAAACATTCGGTAGAATTTATAGAATATTGTAAAAATTATGGTATACAAACATATTAACGCCACACATTTTGTAGAATTTATAGAATATTGTAAAAATTATGGTTACAAACATATTATCGCCAAACATTCGGTAGAATTTATAGAATATTGTAAAAATTATGGTCTATTACCAACATATATATATATATATATATATATATATATATATATATATATATATATATATATATATATATATATACACACACACATATTTATGAGTACATATATATATACTAATTGTATAGATGGTTGAATAAGAATGAAACTTTAAATTGAAAAATAAAACATTTCGATGGTTAATTATCAAAATTAAAAACCGTTAATTATTAAAGTTAAAGTGTAAAAGCAGTGAAAGTTTACAATAAACTTATGAACAGCAAGCATGAGAATTGTTGAAAAGGCTAAGTTAGCATATATAATTTTAATATAAGTTAGTATATATATTAATAATTATAATAAACTGAAATAATTATCATTAATAAGTAGGATTACAGATTTTTTTAAATATTTACATTTAATGAATTAGTTGTGTTAAATGGTATTCATAGTTTTACATTAATAAAAAATGTTGAATGGGTAAATAAAATTGTTCTGTATGGTGAAATATACAATTCATGAGTATGCCTTGTGGGTCTCATGACACCTGGCGCATACTGTTTAAGATGTTTATGAAAATAAGGGAATTTTTAGAATAATAATTTTATAAAAAAAATAGAACAAATCTTGGTGTATATACATTTTGAACTGTTACATCCTACCTCGTGGAACCGGGTCTCTGGACGAAAAACGAAGATTGATTGATTGACATTTTGAACTGTTAATAATATTGATTGGTTTGTATGATGCTGGAAAGGAAGGCCATAAATAATTCTGAAAAAGTTCTTTTGACACCTATTTAAAATTGATACATGTGATTTTATATTTTTTCCCAAACAATTAAACAATTAATTAGATAAGGATAAACTAGAGAAAAGTGTAAATGATATAAAAATTTTATTGGGAATAGCGATTTTAATCTGTTTATTATGCCAAGACTTTTAGAGATTTTATTAGATATCTGTAGAATGTGTACTTTCAAACTTAGGTTGCTTGAGACTAAGACACCTAGGAACTTAATGGTTGATACATTAAGAATAGGAATATTATTAATATGAACAATAAAGTTTTTTATGTTTGTAACAATTTTGAGTCCAAATAGGAAACATTTTGTTTTGCTTGTATTAATTTTTTGATTGTTTGCTGCCATCCAAAATGATACCTTGGATAATTCTTAACTTAATACAGCAAGATTTTTCTAATGATGTGCCACTGAATACAATAGTGGTTTCATCTGCATAAAGAATGAACTTTAGCAGATTTAATGACTGTCAACAACAACCAGAGGTCATCTAAAGCAAACTCTACGTGTATATAAA